CCTTGGTTGTAGGATATCCCGCTTGCTTTATCACTTCTGTTTTGTCCAAGGCACACTGTAAGTTATGCTTTATCGAGTCCTGCTTTAACTGTTCCGTATAGTCAACGCTGGTAATTAGCTTGAAGAATACTGACACACTAGGCTGGACAGCTGCTTATAAATAATGTACTGTTAACTCGATTTATTCACTGTACTCAGAATTCATCCAAATGTCTTACCTTTCTGGCTAGTCCTTCAGAGCTGATTTGATTCAAGAATGTTGTCCACCATAGGGTCGATCTATAGTACTGTGTGGTAAAAGTGAAAGTGCCACCCATATTATAAAAGAAAATTTCTAAACGATGTAGAGCTTTTCTTCCTAGGTCTAAGGCCCTGGATAGTTGTCCACATACTGCTCCTACTGTGGTAACGCAACAAGCTTGAGCTTAGGAATTAGGGCTATTGTTTGTCAAAGTTAATCTAGTACTGTACTACTTACTGTATTATGAACTTAAACGCAATTGTGAATATCCAGATTGTCCCATTGTAATTTCTGTCAGTTCAACCTGTCCCAACTAAATCTACCTAAAATCCCCGGTCAGCATTTTATGCGTGTCCCAATTGGTATGGGTGCAACAGTATATGGTGCAAACGTTCTTGCAGACCATTAACCCACTCTCCCCTGCAATCATGATAGTTCCGTCCCCCTTTCAAATATTATACCATCTTCGGTTATACAATCTTCAATTACATAACCTCCTCAACCAAAATTCAATTCAGGACTCCCAGCACTAAGGACCCAAATACCCTCACCTAGGCGTTACGAATTCTTGAACTAAAAGTAATCAATTTTGGTGAGAAAATGCTCGAGTATTTTTTTTCCACATACGAGTGATTTATTATGAACCCCAGGGTTCTTGATTATTCGGTGAGACCTAGTGCACCAGTATGCGATATCTTATGTATAGCGGGGCAGCCGCAGGGTGCCAGATATAATGACCCCTGGTTCGGTACCAAGAATCTGTACTCTCATGCCTTATACCGGTATTAGGAGGGAGTCCCTAACGACGGATTCCAACCTGGGATGAAATACCCTTTCAATCATCATGAACAATACTAACGTTTATATCAACTATTGCACGGTAAGGGCACGGGGGGAGTTGATCAGATGCGTTTTCCACACCACTGGAATTATGAGAGATCTTATGAGGGACATGATTTGATACTCGATCACACCGTATCCACGAAATTGTAAGATATCCAGCCGTATAGCAATTCCCCCTTTGGCCACATCTACGGATGGGATCGAACCGCTATTATACCAACTGTAAAACTTCCGCTCTGGAAACCGACTCCTCTATGTAAAATTGTTTTCTATGGGTCTTCCAATTTCCTCACACAAAAAGGATTTCACTCCTCGGCCACTCAGCGGCGCATGCAGCAGTGCAACATCTTCACTTTGACCGCGGGGGGCCCGGTGAACACTCGAGATACACCCCGCACTTATTGTAATCGATCGAGCGGGCCGGTCAAATAATGAAAAAAAGTGCATATATTTGTTTTCCGGAAAGGTTTACTTCAGGTTCGTATGCCACGTTATCATTATTCCATTTTGTTCCTTCTTTTATCCTTCCATTTATTCCGGACCTTGCGTACGTTTATAGCACAAGTACGATCTTAGCAATAAAGGAAACCCCCCCCCCTAACTAGTTTTCTATAGAGCAATTTCCCCTGATTAAATACTAGATGTAGCTACAAAAAATGTCATCCTCCAAACTCTGATAATAAGAGGAGCGCCCATATGGATTTTTTAGAATTATGGATTTCTCAACCTTTCCTGGTAGCCCCAAATACTGGCATAGAGACAAGAAGTTGGCACAATTCATTGCTGTGCAAACTCCCATCACAAAATGGTGGTTGTGGCGTAGATTTTATACCTCCCCTTAAGACCTTTAGTTTTTGTATAATAGAACAGTTCCTGTAATATGACATCAAGCGATGAATCTCTGTGCTGAACACTCTGTTAAAAAAATACCGCATTCTTCTTACTTCTTGTTGCTGAATAGGTTCGTATTGAAAATAGGTGGTTTGTTTGGAAAACCAGGGGCACACGTGTCTTCTAGCATCATGTTCTCACACTTTCATCCCCACGCCTATTCCCTTTTTCCCAGAAAGGGACAAAAAAATTCTCCGTTCCAATTGAGCACTCGGGTGAGGTAGAAATGTACGGAACAAATAAGAATCAGCAAGATTATATGGGGTATCATAATTAGGAGATATGTTACACCGATGGAAAATCTCTTGCCATGGTGGACATCAGATATCCGCAGTGAAGGAGTACCGATGGGTATTTTAGTATAATATGAGACACTGCGCTTCGAGTATGATATTTGATCTATCCATTTCTAACCCTTTAAAAGTACTATTCTAAAAGCTCTGATTCTCTCTCCTTTGGTCTCAATTCGGCGTTCCATTATGATCAGATTCTGCATAAAATCCGCGGATTTAAAATCATGAACGATCACTGGGTACAACTGCTCTGTTTAATGGCGTCTTGAAACGCTCCATTTTTCCTCTCCCACAAATGGTAATGGATCTTAACCAACATCCAGACAATACAAATCCGGATAATAGATCAGCGCTGCAATGCATTCTCTCGCCGCCTAGTCCTTTTCTGCCATGACGGGGACTCGAGCGCGAGTGCTGCGAGCCGGGTAATCATTAGGCGCCTGTTCTCGAGTATCATTTAAAAAGTCTCGGGATGCTTTCGCGCCGGAGAGAGGTACCAATAAATGTAAAGCGTCCGAAGACATTTTAAGTGGCCAAGTATGTAAGCGCCCTCCCTTCCATCCCGTCCTTGCAGCAAAAGCCCTCCAAATCAAGATTGCGGCACGCACCGGAACACCCCACCAAACCGCAATAAATAGGCTTTGTAGAGTAAGTCGGCAAAATAGCAGATACCTGTTAATAGGATCCGGTAAAATCAGCTCGGTCAAGGTATGCCGCACCAGAAAACAGTATTTCTTATTGGGGCGTTTAGTCCCTCATTGTGGAGATTAGAGACCTTCAAGATATGTTGAGTTAAACGAGCTCCTGCGGTACTGTTCATCCTGCTGCTTGACTTTCTGTAATCGTACTTGCCCCCACAAGCCCCCGAAGGGAAAAAGTGGTTCATTAACAGTCACTCGCATCCCTGGCGCTGAGACCACGGGAGAAGAGAAAAAAGAAAAAATGTTAAAAAAGAAACGTTCCATGCAGAAGAGCCCTTCCGGACATTTTCCACACCGAAAAATTTTAGGATGATCCACACGTGATCGCAAATAAAAACCCCCTAAATCAGAAAAGGGAACTCACGGTACCGGCAATGGGATGCCAGCAAGTTACAAGTAACGTGGCCTGTGTTTACGGAATGTAGGTATGTTGGAGGAGGATTTAACTTGAGGAGGCTAAGTGCCCTCTTCTTTCATGCTTTGATTTTCAAATGCCATAGTTGAAGCTTCCGGGGATGTTGAATGTTAGACGATAATGCTCGAGTACCGGTGGCAGGTGGGATGCTCCTCCATACATGCAGCACCGTTCGTTGGGAATGATAGGGGAGAAGGAGTGTTGGTGGGGGTTTTTTTTCGCCCTTCTATTTTTCCATTCCCATTTTTCTGTTTTTCCTCTCTTTCCCTTTTCTCCTCCCCAAGTGGGATTATTCGATGCTGGATTATTGTAGATGCATCCAAGCGAGTAAAGCGTTTCCCGCAACTGTCCTAGCATGATTCCCAAGGGATCCACCAGCGCCCCAAGGCTAGCCTTTCGATGGAGGGTGCGGTAGGTCACAGGAGAAAGCATTGCCCGCTGAAGCACCTGCACCCGTATTTATAATGACGCTGGTTCTAGAAAACTGTAACCAGAGCCTTATCTCAAAGCTTCTGGAATTTTTGAGACATGGGAATGAACGGGATCGTTTATTTTTGGGACCCATTCTGCACGGTCGTTGCGGTGCGAGAGACATGTACAAGTATCATAATTGGTCTAATATAGATTCCGCAAGATCATGCCTTTTTGTCGGTGCCACTATGGCTAGATTGATGAATGTGGCGATGTGATGGAAGCATGCACCGCGGGCGGGCATATTCAGATGGTAAATAGGATGCCTAACAGCGTCTATCGGGTTACAGTGCCCGGTCAAGGCACAAATTCTGCAAAACGAGCGGGTGGGAGCAGAGGACGAAATGTTATGTTTCTGAAGAAGTTCTGTGCTGGTTTGGTTTATGTAGGTACAGTACAGCACTGCACGAGTACTGTACAAGTGCAGTGCTCGTACAGAACTTGCGGTTGGTGCACAAAACAGCAGGAGATATCCTGATATGATCCTACTTGTACCATATCTCCCTCCTGGTACTGGTGTCCCCCTGATAGGATGGAATAAACGTTCTTATGGTTTTTGCTCGATTCACTCGCAGGACTCGCGGGCCATCTGGCCTGTTGCATCTACGGGTGCTCTACAGAAAGCACGTGCTGAATGAGAGAATAAATTGACCTTGAATTTCTGAGCAGAGCAAAGCTGAAACCTGGAGAGCATGATGTACTGTACGCATTTCCGTTTGAGATCTTCGATAGTATTCAATGTCGTAATCGCGATTGCGCGGTGTCACGATTAACTCGAGTTGTACTCAACTTGACAGTTCAATGGTTCCAGTCTACAGGATCGCTTCCGTTCAGCGAGGAGATGCGGGACGCATGATACTCACGATGCTCTACTCGAGGACGAGTACCGTGATAGAGGCGTTTCGAAAATTGGTTGCGGTTCCTCATTGGTCACAGGGCCTGGCCAGTGACGGTCGAGTACCGGTATGGAAGGGATTGTTCTCCTTTTAGAATATGAGGTGCGGCAGCTGGGAGGGTGGAGAGAGCAACCTTTGACCATGCCCCTTTCGACCATCGAGAGCCGAATCAGACAACAGGCCAAGTCTGGCTGTCACTTTGCTCGCCTTCGCGGCTTGCTTTTTGCCTCTCCTGTTTTCTCACCAACTCCAACTGGTGCCTGCTGCTCCTTCATCACCACTTTGCTCTCCTCCCCTTCTCAGCAGCTCCGGTACGTGCTGACTGAAAGAGCCCTACCCTTATACCGGTATCTCTTGTCACTTCACCCTCTTCACCCCCTTTCACCTCTTCTTTCTTTTTTTCTTCTGCGCGCCGCTCCTGCTGCACCGCTCCCTTCTTTCCTCTCCCCCCGCCATCCCCTTAAACCCCGCCACTTTCCCCCTTTACCCTAGATACTTGCTCCTTTCCGTCCATCACCTGTCGCCATCAATTCCCCCCGGGTTAGCCAGCGTTGATTGCAGAGGGTAAATATCCCACAGCACCCCGCTATGCACCACTGCAGTACCGACATTGCCTCCCTTTGCTAACTTTGCCGCTAGCCGCAGATAAACCTCAAAATTTCTAGTCTGGATATTTGAGCCTTAAAGCTCAAGGGGTTTCTTCTCGCCACCTTCACCTCGTTTAGATCGCTGGACTCCGCCATATTATCCCTTCGTTAAACCAATCAACTCGTTCTATCAACGTCCGCTGGTTTGGCTGGTATTGTTTCTTTTCAATTCAACCACCCAACCCCTGTATACCGATTCTTCGTTCCAAACCTCGGAATATCTCAACTCGTTGGTTGAAGCAAGCAAGAAATAGAATCTCATTTATTGGAATATTCAGTTCACTTCTGTTTACGGAGGATACAAACCTATACCCTTCAAGAGCAAGATAGATTGTTACAGAAAACCGCAGCAAAGCTCCTTTGAGGTCAGCAGGCACTGCAGGAGAAGCTCCAACCGTCGCTTTCTTCAGTACCGCCCGCCCTAACGATTTTTGCTACAGTGGTTGATCCTCCTCGGTATACCGATAATTATTATCCATTTCGGATTAACCTGGCGTTTGATAACATACACAGATCTAAAAAGGAACCATCTCTCCTTTTTGTGCTGCCCTTTACGGATTTCTCTACCGGCCACGTTATATTCATCTTCTGGAATAACGTAATCTTGTAATTGCGCGGACCTTAACCCAAAGGACTTTTCGTCGGACACACCCTCCCCCCTAAAAAAGGCAACTTTTGAACCGAGATCAATTCGACCGCCTGAAACCATGTCAAACCGGAACAGCACACCGGACCAGGGCTCGGGCGCCGGTGGGTCCTCACTTCGTCCCCCATCTTCCCGACCACTCGGCTCTGGTCATCATTTGAGAGCCTCAGCAGATATGTCCGGTGCTTTCCAATCACCCCTTACAGGTCGGATTCGTCCTTCCTCTGAGATCTTCCTAAACCCTCCCCAGATTACCTCTCAAAATGCGGAGACCGAAGCATTGGACAAGGCAGCACGAGAGTGGATTAACGATTTGGAGACATATGAGAATACCCTCGATGAAATGGCATCTGCGGCATTGGATCAGGACTTCAAAGATGAACTTAGTGCCATCGAGCAGTGGTTCCGGGTCCTTAGTGAAGCTGAGAGGACTGCGGCTCTGTATGCCCTGTTGCAGCAAACCACCCAGGTCCAAATTCGGTTCTTCATTACTGTTCTACAACAAATGGCAAGATCTCACCCAATGTCGAACATTTTGTCCCCCAACACTTTTGAAAAAGGTACAATTCCCTTATGGTGCGATTTTGTGTAGGATGCTAATATTAGCTGCAGACGCTATGGCTTCTCGTATGAGTGATGCTATGAGTAAAATGAACCTGGGTAACGCTCGTGACTCGTTCTCTCGCCCTCCGCCCTCCCCAGGAGCACCGCCGAATAGGAACTCGGTTGTGGATCCGTCTGTGCAGTCAATGTTCCCTGACGCCGCTGCTGCTATTGCTGCTCAGCGTGCGCTGATCTCGGGCCAGGCTGGAAGCGGCAGTGGAACAAAGTCCAACCGTAATAGTGCATTATTTGAGTCTCGTCCATCCTCATCCTTGGCTCCTACCCCTTCCATTTCGACCCCAGCGAACAAGGAGAATAACCCACCTTCCTCCCCATGGAACCGCCCGACAAATGACGGAGGGGGTGAGCAAAGCCGCCCCAAGTCTGCCGCAGACTCTATGGGCAACTTCCAACTTCCCCCATCGTCTGCTGGACTGAGGTCTCCGAGGAATCCTCCTCCTCAAATTACTGGAAACACGAACCTTCAGACCACCACCTTGAACGCGCCCACAGCTACCGGTATTGAGATGCCCCAACTTTCTCCCTATGGTGATACATCATCCGGCAATTGGGCATCAATGGTCAACACACCTGTTGCGCCAATATTTTCGCAATCGCCGGGAGCAGATATGGTTGCCAACGCTGCTGCCATGAAATTAGCTGCATTGTCTACTGTTAATAACCGGATTATCCTTGATAACGATCCTAAAGGATGGGGAAAGCGCAGAACCGGAAAGGATCCTAATGGAAGCAACGGGCATGGCAATGCCGGGCTCAATTCTCCTCGGAATAACGGAAATATGGCCACCTTGCCCCAGGGCGCTATCGCTATGTACAACGAGCATGGCCAATTGGTTCCGATTCCGACGGCTGCGGCTGCTGCAGCCATGGCACAACAGCAGAACAATGGCTCGCCGCTTCTTGGAGGCCGCTCCCGCCCGAACTCGCCCGGCGTGTTCAACTCACCCGCCGCCCAGTGGGGCGGTCTAGGATTTGCCTCTCCTCAAGCTGGTGGCTTTCTTGCTGCTCAATCACCCCTCCTCGGGAATAATCTTCTACCCACATTCGGTGGTCTCGCTGGGTCGGCTGAAGGTTATAATTCTGATGATGTCAGTGGACGCGGGAGGAGCCCGAGAGGCAGACGGGGAAGCTCTAAGCCTCCAGAGGATCCGACCGACCCTAACCTTCTGAACGACATTCCTGCCTGGTTGCGTAGTCTCCGTCTCCACAAATATACCGATAATTTGAAGGATCTCAATTGGAAAGATTTGGTCGAGTTGGATGACGAGGCACTTGAGAAGCGAGGAGTGAATGCTCTCGGAGCCAGGAGAAAGATGCTCAAGGTTGGTTTAACAATATGTCATCCTCCATGTAATGTTCTTCATTAACACATTTCGGCACTTAGGTGTTTGACCAGGTCAAGGAAGCTAAGAATGAGGGCAAAATCCCTGCCTAGAGAACTAGTTGGCGAAGCAGGATCTGGTGGCATATTCATCAGAATCTCAAGCACAATATTACCACAGTACTCACCTATTCAAACCCCGGTGTGCCATTCTCATATGACTATTTCATTGTTTTGTCTGTTTTTATCCCTAGCTCTTATGACTAGGTTGTCTTATTCCCTAGTTTTTTCTTTCTTTTCAATTTGATCTTTCTTTCCCTTTCTTTTTGCATCCTTTTGCTAAATGAGGTCAGAGTAATGTGGTATATGGGGAAAAGAAAATTGCGTAGCTTGAGATTAGCGAGTATATCATGTTTCTTTTATAATGCCATGGTGCAGCGCTGGGAAGTTTGAAGAGTGGGGCATGCTTCAAGTTAATTGCGGAGGTTGCGCGGGACCCCGAAGATGCGGTGCGATATCATAAAGTACAGTACCCAGTGATAGCCGGAGAGAAAAAGTGCGTGTAGGTGGAGGGATATCACAAGAGCAATGGGAGGGGAACTTCTAAAGAATTAATGACCAAACAAACTACCGTAACGAACAAATGAACAGAGTTGAAATTAATCGAAACGTGGTACATGAGAGTCACAGGCATGGTGGGGTGTGCTTACATGACTGGTTATTGAATACCGCGTTATCAGGAAATAGCAAGGTGATCTACTGTACCATTGCCAGCAGCTTAGAACGGGAAACTATACCCAAGATGAGACAGTGACGTACCGTATGCACATAGATTCTCCCCAGAACTCTCCATCCTCCCTCTCCCAGTCCCTCATTAAACAATCCATCCATTATATCATCCCGAACGTACTTCGCTGAGACCTGCCCGCCTCCGCCGCGAGATCTAGGACCTGGTGAACGAGGCTCGCTAGTATACCCTGTCCTGCAGGCATACCTACAGATAGCAGGGTTTCATTGGATTGCTGTGTCTGAAGAGGAGCGATGTATGTATGATACGGAAATATGGTGTCGTGTCGTCGGCGATGGAAATAGTGTTGAAAAAGGTCGAAACCCCTTGGGCCTGTTCAGCTGAAGCGGGGAGGAGAGATTGGACAACCGGGTTTGTCAACCATGTTTTTGCGAGTGTCGTTGTGCCAAGTGAGGAAGTGACTTACTTATTATGTTTAGAGAAAAATTTGTATACTGTTTGGGCATCCGGAAGAGGGTATCATGGGGGGTAATTTTACACACTGGAACGGCCGATGGCCGGAATAGCTAGGTCATTATAGATATGATGATATTATGTCGTTAACTGATCAGATCAGATCAGATCGCCTTGAAGGGGGAAGACTCCTCACCGAACTTGCTAGAATCATGTGGTGGGACAAGACGACGGAGGGGGGCTGCCTGAGTGTTGGAAATGGAGAAGATATCAATCAATGGAGGGACTTGGATTTCGGAAAGGCAAAGCTGGGGATCTTAATCGTCATGGATTTGCTCTTGTTAAAGCTAGCTCTAGCAAAATAAAAAAAAACACCTGCTTTGTGCGCATCCATAGTACCTCTGGTATGGCATCAATCGTTACAACCTGCACGATAGCAAAGCTGAAGGTCGTAGTCAATGCCTCAAGACCCCAACATATTAGCAAAACAAAAACACAAGAGCCCAGCCAGAGCCCCCACAACCCACCATCGCAGAAGAAAACCAAAACCAATTTAATGTATCATAGGCCCTATCAAAAAGTTACACCAATCGCAAAAGCAGCATGCCCAAACACCAGCCACACATGTGGCAACCCAAGCCAGACAGCAATGGGTTCGGCCACACAGGGCCCAGGTGCCTCTACAGGATGCTACCACTACCGCCAACTATTGCGAGTTCTCCACTTCCTCCTCCACCGGCTCTAACCAGTTCCTAAAAAAGAGGATGCTGCAATTGCGAATCAAGAGTACAAGACAAATGAAAGTGTGCAAGCTATAGGCCGGGGGCAGGCCACCCAAGATTTGATACCAGAACAATAGAAACTACCGAACCCGTACTGTACTTGTAACCTATTGAAGTGGACTATGAATTCCCAATCCCCAGTACATGAAGATATTGTAAGATGGCTACAAGTGTATTCGTTGGATGATCTTTCCGGCAACCCGAATCCTCATTGTAATAAAAGTTGGGCACCGAGATCTCGGAGACAAGGGTGTTTACAGTGATAATATCATGCGTGGACTTGAAAAAGTAGGATTTAGAAGTTCTAGGGAAATATTAGCTCCAAGCTCTATAAGTACCACTTGCGGACTAGGAAAGAAAGGCGAGCATGGCCGATACATACAAGGAAAGATGATAACGTACTGTACAGGATTTCTTTAAACTTTGAGAATGTCATAGCTGAGGAAATAATTGTGTTCTTTACTGTACTACTAAAAACTCTCAACTGAGAATAACGCATGCTCATGTATATAGTAATAGTACTTACCATTTTGCATGCATAGTGAGTCTCATATGTTCTAACTTGGATAAGGAATGTAAGAATGATAATATCAGTATACTTCTATAATAGTAGTAGGATGCTAATTAAGTATTATTGGATGTTAGATGTAAGGAGGAAGTATTAAGATCATAACTGTGAGAAGAAAGCAGAAGGATTCTAATTGAAATAGTTGACCCACCATACCACCTGACCTTGTTTTTATCTGAGTATAAGATATATCTTCTATTTTTAATAATAGACTTGGGATGGGATAGTGTTAGTGTATTCCCTCCTATAAGAAGGCTATTATACTATATTTATCAGCTTCTAAGTTCAGTGGCCAGGTATGATTAGATTTTTCCTTATATTTTTTTTAGTGTTAATATTCAACCTCACTTTAACCTTAGATAGGAAAGTGAAACGTGGGGTCTGCAATATTGGAGAAGAATAGTAGTTTGGTATAAGACTGAGTTTACTCTTATATCATACTTGAAATTCCGTTGTTTTTACTAGAACTTACCGTAACCGTTTGAATGGGAATTACATACAATTATTTTATATTACGATTGTTAGACTAATTGTGAATAGATTATCTCTATTATGACAGGGGTTGACAAAACTTTACTAACTGCTTATTTTTTATTATAAGAAAAGGATTTTACAAATTTCAAATATGAGGAAATGGAGACCAGTATGAGACAATAATGTATTGTACGGGGGTCGCTCTTCAGACATAGATATTGGTCTTTTCATTGTACAATACTACATACTATATACATTAACCTATCGATTACAAAAGCCTTAAAGACCTTCAGGTATTTTACATTTCCCCTTTCGGTCTCGGGGAGCTTATGTATATTAAACCTCACATGTTCTCTTGTTCCGTGGTACTAGCAGTGGATTTACCCCAGTGCAGATATTCCATCGCGATTGCAAAGTTGACTACTTGATCAACAGGATATTCCATCAACCAAGCAGGTCACATTTCAATTGGTAAATTAAGTTCCAGTTTATCCTAGTGGCGTAGCAGCTCACTTCGCTGTTGAAATGTCCTGGTTAAGGGGAGGGGGGCGGAGGGTAAATAAGCGAGTGATAGCGTGTGCAAAAGAACCAGTGCAAACTGAAATTAGAAGGGGATTGGGCTTCCGTACGGGGGGAACTATATTGTCTTGTAGTTTTATTGGCAGCTGGCCATATATAAAGTCGCGTGATATGGAGTTATAAGTCCTGCACACGAGAATTTCGAGTCCTTAGTCACTTCCGTTCTCCTCGGAGTCCTCCAAACTTCCATAATTAAATAACATTCTGCGGGGTTCACTGGGCGCGCTACTTTTCAACTACATTCATTCATAAGGGCGAGTTACGTGATAAGGGCGCAATTCCTACTTTCCCATTTCCTTCGAAATCAGTTGATGCGAACATCACCCATTGCAACTCACCCCGAATCTCGTATCCTTGATGATGCCTGGCTACACCTTCATGCTTCCGATCTCAAGGTACTGTTTATTCGGGTGGTAGGGGAGGGGAGGTCAGGTATTTTGTGAGCGCTGGTGGTTTTCGACCATTGGCCGACCCATACTCCTCTTCTGTAGCCGGTCTTAATTAGGAGCTCGTTCAGGCTGCCCCCTTGGGAGAGTTTCCCACAAGCGAATTCCTTGACAACGGGCGGGAAAGTACCAGACACATGGTCTTGGGGTTGATGGGAGCTGAGCAATATAATAAATTCCTGATAAGCCTCTAATGAAAAGGGGATGTGGTTCTGATCTCATGATGAACCAACAATCTGCTCGCTTGGTCTCTGCTAATTAATAAATAAATAAATTCTAGTAACCTCTAGCTTAGCTTTAAAGATTCCCCATTCCACAAGTAGTAAAAAAAAAAAATTTGTAGGAGTATGGAAGAATTATGATGATATCATCCCATTAAATCAAACCATGAAGGTAAAGAAGGAAAAAGAAAGAAAGATTTTGGAGTATGTACAGTCGTGTTCGGAAAGTTTTCATACCCTTGCATGGCAACTGCACAACCACAACCCCCAACCATAAAAATTTCAAAAAAAATGTAAAGAATTCAATTAAAGAAAACATGATAGTATTGCTAGTAGACAATAAAAAAAAAAATATTACTATTTTGTATGGCCTCCATTTGCATCCAGTATAGCTTGCATTCTCTCAGGCATCCTATCTATCTATCCATCCAATTTCTCTTGGGGAATTAAATCCCACTCTTCCTTTGCTGCCTCAAACAATTCAGCTGCACTATGAGGCCTTCTTTCCAGTCTGGAGAATTGCTTGGTAAGGGCTCTTTTGAGTAGTGCACATGTGTTCCCAATAGGATTGAGATCTGGTAAGTTGGGTGGCCAAGGGAATTTTTTGTAACTACAGTCTGCTTCCAATTTTCGATTTTCCTCACTACCATACCAGGAAGCATTATCTGTAGCAAGGTAGATATTGTTAGAAGGTCTATCCAGACCCTCTATAAAAGGGATAAGGTAAGGCTGGTGGATCTCAGTTGCATATTGGTGAGAGTTTAGGCCAAGTCTGTCTCTTTTGCTGGTCCTTTCCTCCTCCCTCCTCTTTCTCATAAGAATTAACTCAGGCTTTCCTCCCTTTATCATTGCAGCATATACTCCAATGCTAGTCCTTCCAGACTTAAAGCTAAGCTTTAAGTTTTTTTCTTCCAGCTCTTCACCAGGTCTAACTCTGACCCTTTTGCCTGTTGGATTTAGATCATAAACAATGGTGGCTTCATCAACAAAAACAACCCAATTCCATGCCCTTTCCAGTTCCTCCTTCTCCTAGAAAACTTCCTTCTTTTCTCCTTTTGTCCTTTTCTCCAAAAAGGCTTGTTCCTAGGTATCAGAAGCTTAAAACCAACTTCTGATATGATATTATCAATAGTGGTATTACCAAGACCAATATTCGCTTTCTTAGTAATGTTGTGTAATGTTAAATGAGGCTCGGCATCGATAACTGACTCCACTACCTTTCTTTTCATGTTGGTAATCTTGGTTGGTCTTTCACCACTTTTTACATGATAAGTGTTTCCACCTATATCGATCCCTCTTCAGATAGTTCTTGGCGACGGGGAATGAAACTTCTCTTCTTCTCCTTCTTTTTTCTTTAGTCTTACGATAGCACT